ATGAAAAGGAGTTCAACACACTCCAAGAGCGTCAATAAGGAGGACTCTCATATAAAGGAGCAGTAGTCAAAGAATAAATCTACTTTTCAAAACAATGCAAGCAAGAAAATATTGGAGCCACACTTTAATCTGTAGAGGAGTTAAAAGCTCTGGAAATAGAAACCACACAGATAACTAGGTAAGGCTTTTTCTTATAGCTCTTTATAATTTTAACATTCATTATATAGGTGAGAGGTTTCATACACGTGTGAGCCTCTGAGGGTGGGAGGACTGAGGTGTGGGAAAAGGTGGGTGAGATAACTGTCTCCAAAAAGATTTTTTTTTCCTTTCTACTGTGTCTGTAGGGGAGCGGGAGTCCCATTCCTTGCTCTCAAATTGCATCAACGGCCAGGGGTAGAGATGGTGCTTTTATGTCTTCTTAGAGACCCTGATATGGGGAAGAATGTTCCCAAGGGTGTTACTTGGCCTTGATAGTTCAAGAACTTGTCAGCTTCACTGCACCAGATGTGAGAAAATCTCAGGTCTGTTGGCTGACCATGTCTACTCAGCATATCCACAGACCTAGGTACTTGCTGCAAAACTGCCTAGAGAGATGTTCAGCCTGTTCTGGTTTCCGTCTTTGAGGTACTTGACCTCTCTTGTTGGCTTGGACCTGCTGGCTGGCTTGTGTTGTGTGTGCATCTGTTGCACAGGTGTCAGCTACTGAAGTGGCCCATTCCTGCCACATGTGCTCCAAGGTTGGACCGCCTGTCCTTATGATTTTCCCTGAGGCCAGGGTTTGAGCCCATTGATCTAGCTAGCTGTGGAGTCTCCCAGGAAATCTTGCTAGGAAGTCCTGAGCTTGATTCTGCAGTATGTACCAGTTACTGGAAGATCAGAGACATGGTTAGTCCTGCTCCTGGCCCCAGCTTATAATAAATGCTTGCTGTTGAGTTTTAATATATATATAAATATCACAAAAGTTGGGAAGGAAGAAATGCATTAGCCGGCATAATGTCACTTGAAGATAGACTACAGACTTGTATATCCTAAACCTTGAGACAGCCTCTAAAATAATAACAACAACAACAAAAGGACTACTAAGTTAATCAGGGGAAAATAAGACCTAAAATGTTGTATTTAATTATGAACAACAGATTAAAAGCAAAACTAAGAAGAAAATACAAAAATGACTTTAAAGTTAACCATATCAGAAATCAGATTAAATGTATGTGTTCTAAAACACTATTTTAAAAAGCAGAAATTGTCAGATACAATTACATGCTGTCTAAAAAGGGAAGTCCTTTAGATACAAAGTATTGAACTTGTTACAGGAAAATGCATACTATGATAACCCTAATTAAAAAAAAAAAGGGTAGATAACTAGAGAAATTGAAATGGAGTTCAGAGCAAATATTGCCAAGAGTAAAAAATATCATTTCATGATGATAATAGTTGAGATTGTCAAGAGGACTTAATACTTACCTGCCAAATTAGTTTCAAAATATATGGGGAAATAACTGATATAACTATACAGATAAATAAATATATCACAGTTGTATTAGGATATTTCAGTAGTAATTGGTAGAACAAACAAAAATCACGGTATAGAAAATTGGAACAACACTGTCAACTAAACTGGCATGATGGACATTTATCTAACATTCCATTTAACAAGAATAGCACTCAGTTGTTTACTTAAAGACAGAGGTAGAAGTACAGAAGGGACATTCCATCTGCTGGTTCACTCTCTAAATACCTACAACAGCCAAGGCAGGCCAGGCTGGACCCAGGCGCCCAGAGTGCAGTCCAGTCTCTCAGGTGGACCTCAGGGATCCAAGTGTTTGAGCCATCACAGGAGCCTGCCAGGGTGTGCAGCAGCAGCAAGTTGGACTCGGAAAGACAGCTTACAGTCAAAACCAAGCATCCCACCCAGTGCCCTTAACTACGAGGACCAACACTTAAAGTGCACAGATACTCATTTCTAGACATATAAAGCTGCAGTCAGCAAGACAATTAGTGATTTGATGTAGTCCTACTTTTTGTTTTGCCTTTGACTGCCTGTGCTTTTGGTGGCTTTCTAAGATGTCTTTACCTATACCTATATCTTGTAGAATGCTTTCTAATGTTTTCCTCTAATCATTTGATGGTTTCTGGGTGCAGATTTAGGTCGTTGGTCCATTTAGAGCTGATTTTTTTTTTTATGAGGTGAAGATGGGGGTCTTGTTTGTTACTTCTGCAAATGGATATCCAGTTGTCCCAACAGCATTTGTTGAAGAGACCAGCCTTTGTTCCCTGGGTTGTTTTCATTTCTCTTGGCAAAGATTAATTGGCTGTACATGCGTGGGCTTCCTCCTGTAGCTTCTGCTCTGTTCCATCAGTATTTTGTTTCTAGAGTTATCACTGCCCCTCAGTATATCCTAATCTAGAACCATGATTCCTCCTGCTTTATTGTTACCCTTCAAGATAACTTTGGCTGTTTGTGGTCTCTTGTGTTTCTAGATGAATTTTTGTGTCTTTTCCAACTCTGAGAATGCTGTTAGGGTTTTCCTGGAATCACACTGCATCTGCATATGAATTTCAGTAATATGGACGTTTTGGTGATATTGATCATGCCAGCCCAGAAACAATAATTTCTCCATATTTGCATGTCTTGTATTTCATGTTCTGGTTCTGGTGTTTTGTAATTTTCATCATAGAGGTTGTCCATGTCATTGGTTAAGTTTATTCCGAGGTGTTTAAGGTTTGCATTATTTTGAAAAGGAATATTCTTAAGTTCTTTCTCAGCCATGGAGTGGTTTATGTGTGCTATGGCCATCGATTTATTTTCATTGGTTTTTGTACTCTGCTGCCTTGCCAAACTCTCAGGAGTTCCAGTAGTTTCTTTAGTGAGTCTTTTGGTTCTCCTTTGTGTAGACTCAAGTCTGCAAACAGGGATCATTTGTCTTCCTCATTTCCAATTTGAATTCCTGGAAAAGGGTAGTATTTATAAGATCTTCTGTGGGTCTTGGAATGCATTCTCTGCAGATAAGGAAGATTGTTTGTTGTGAATAACTAATTTATTTACTTATTATTTTTGGTCAAAATGCAAAGGTAGTTCACTGGAGAAAGGGTAGTTTTTTCCCAACAAATGGTTCAGGAACATTTAGCTACCCATATAGACAAAATTAATTTTAATTCTTCACAGTATATATAAATTGAAATAATTCTGAAACTGAAATGTAAACACTGGAACTACAAAGCTCCTAGAAGCAAACCCCTGTGATTTTTAGATTAGACAAAGATTGATTGATTCATGTGAAGGAGACACGGAGAGGTCTTCCATCAACTGGTTAATTCCTCAAATGGCTACAATGGCCAGAACTGGGCCAGTCCAGAGCCGGGAGCCAGGAGCTTCTTTCAGGTCTCTGACACGGGTGTCAGTTCCCAAGGCTTTGGGCCGTCCTCCACTGCTTTTTCAGGCCAAAGCAGGGAGCTGGATGGGAAGTGGAGCAGCCAGGACATGAACCAGTGCCTGTATGGGATCCCAGCACTTGAAGGGGGAGGATTTAGCCAGTAGGGCCATTGCACCAGGCCCAACAGGGCCACGTTTTCAGTAGTGAGTGTTAGGATGTCTGTATGTATTGGGACAGGGTGGGGACATGATTCAGCCCGTAATCAGCAATAAACAAAATAATGTTGTGTTTTAGAAGAGAGTTGACAAACTGCAGACCCCACAAAACCAGTGCCGCTACAACTTTTTGTGAGTAAAGTTTCATTAGAGCACAACCGTATGCTTTTGTTTATCTGTGGCTGCTTCTGTGCTTAAAAGCAGAAATGGTTGGTTGTGACAGACAACCACAGACACTAAACTATTTATTGTTTGTTGTTTATAGAGAATTTTGCCAGCATATTTTAGAAGCTAATAAGGGGGGAGGGGAGTGGGATAAGCAAAGAGGGCTAGTTGTAAGATATCTGAGAAGGTAGATTTGAGCAAAGTTTGCAAGGAGTATATACTTTCTGTGTATTAATTTAAAAAGAGGTCTGCTGCATAGTGTTGAGCGTCTTTAGGAAGTGTGTCTGCAAGAGTACCAAAATGCTCAAAATCATTACCTCTTAGTGGGCTTATGGGAGATTCTCACTTTGTTTTCAGCAGGTTTTTTTTTTTGAAATTTCAAAATTATTTATTATAAATGTAATTTCTTATAAAACCATGCAGCGTTTAATGTGTGTGAAACAGTGGAGGCTTCATCTCCTTGTGTGTCTGGAGTTACCTTACGTCACAACAGAGCCACTGATGCTAGATGTTAGTGTAGTACTGAACAAATGTTGGGGCTGATGCTGTAGCATAGCTTGTAAAGCTGCTGTCTGCAGTGCTGGCAGCCCTTATGAGTGCTGATTCAAGTCCTGGATGCCCAAGTACCAATCCAGGTCCCAGTTAAAGTGTCTAAGAAAGCAGCTGGAGGTGGTCCAAGCGCTCGGGTCCCTGTACCCACCTGGGAGACTAGGAAGAAGCTCCTGGCTTCACACTAGCCCAGCTCCGTCTGTTGAAGCTGTTTGGGGAATGAAGCAGTCAGTGGAAGATGAAGCGGTGTGGCTCTGTGTCTCTAACTCTGCCCTTCAAATATACAGTCTTGGGGAGGGGGTTATGGGAAGAGTAGAAGGGGAAATCCCTGAGCCTATGGAACTGTATCATGAGAAGTAGTAAAAATTAATAATAATAATCGTTTGAAAAAAGTAACAAACTATTTTGTGTAGTCAACAAACTTAATTTAGCACTGGTACAAGATAAAGGTATGTTGTTTTAAATAACTGCTTTAACTGCTTTTGTCAAAACCTGCAAAATGCACCTTTCGTATTTCTAAGACGTTACATTCACACTAAGTTGGTGTTAGACATTGGTGAGCCAATGATGTTTGCAGATGCATTTCAGAGCATGACACTAGAGTAGTTTAATACTCTCATTAAGTGTTTATGGAATTACTGTATTCTGAAGCTCAGAAGGTATCTGAAAATAGATTGACTTAGTGTAAACCTGATAGTCTGTCGCAGGGATTTTCGAAGTGTGCATGTAACGAACAGCATCGCAGCCGGCTTTGAGCAGGCTTCCCCTCGCCTTCCAGGGGACCGGTGTGAGAGAGAATGACATTTGGAGGCAGACGAGTTGGCATCAAGGCCCTGCTCCTTCACTTACGGATTGTGTGATTTGGGTAAGTTATCATTTCTGAATCTTAGCTTTGTGCTTTTGTAAAATTATAGCTTCTCTAGTATATCGGGGGGGGGGACTGCTGTAATTTACATGAAATCATTCTGTGTAACATACATGTTAATATGAACTCTAACTTTTACTAATGGAAGAGCTGAATCTGGATGCTTCTTAAAGTGATTAATAATTAGTTTAATACAGGTATGGCAGACATTTTGAAGATTTATTAAAAGTAGTCCTGCATTAAAAAACAATAGTTCAGTACTATAAAGGTGCCATAGAAATTTCCCTCATCCTGATGCTGCTCTGCATAATTGTTTAACAATTGTTGCTTTCCTTTAATTTGACAATTGTAGTTCCTGTACTGCTCTCCAATGACAGTAGTAATATTACTATAGTAATAATTTTATACATGCAGTGTATATCCGAATATATTATTTATGCATTTTCATTCTGTCCTTGGGTTAGATTTTAAAGAAAAGAATTTTTAAACCTACAAAAAGTCTGTAGTTGGAGAGCACAGCTATTAAATATTAATTATAACTCCATAGCTTTTCCCCCACTTGAGAAAAGTTATGGAGATCTAAGTAAATCAGAATGAAGAACTAGAGAGATAATATTGAATTTGTTCTAAGAAAGTGGCTCATGCATTTTGTTGCTCAGGGAGCAGAGCAGATCCCCTCTGGCGTGTACCGGCGCCCCTCTGCTTGCCCTGCCTGGTGGAGCACTGCAGTTGGAGAGTTCCTGTCGCGGGAGAGCCTCTGAGCTCTGGGCTCAGCCTGCCCTGTGTCTGTGCTTACTAGGCTTATTTTGATTTCATAGAGCTTTCCAGATAATATATTTCAAAATCAATACATGCATTATAAAACCATCACATGTGTCATATGAAGAGGATACTTTTAATAAAATTTTAAACTGGCTGTTGGTAGCAGTGAATGAAAGGAGTGGGGGAAATACGCAGTGTGGTGTCAGTTCTGTTCATTTTAAAGCAAGACAAGCCTCAAAATGAAGTTGACGATATTGCACAGAATACGGTAGTTAGTGCTGCTGTTATTTTCATCTCTTGGGATTAGACTATGAAACCAAGTGACTTTTAGTATTTATGCAAAAAGCAGGTACAATGTTATATATTTTTTTCTGATATTGTCCATTTATGAAGTAATTTTATTGCAGAGTGACCATTGCTTGATTTGTGAGTATGTAGAGTCAAATTTGATTTGCATGTTTGATAAAAAAAAAAAAAACACTGTTTTCTGAAAGAGCTGGAAATCCTCTCTCGGCTCATTTCACTGTCCACCATGGCACAATAGCCAGAGGTGGGCCAGGCCAAGGCCAGGAGCTGTTAGCAAAGGAGCTGGATGGTGGCATAGCTGGAACACAATTTTATTTTTAAGATTTATTTTTTTAATTTGAAAGTCATATAAACAGAGAGGAAGATCTTTCCTCTGTTGAATCACTCCCCAAGCAGCTGCAGCGGCTAGAGCTGAGTCGATCTGAAGCCAGGAGCCCAGATCCTCTTCCGGGTCTCCCATGCAGGTACAGAGTCCCAAGGCTTTGGGCCGTCCTCGACTGCTTTCCCAGGCCACAAGCAGGGAGCTGGATGGGAAGTGGGGTCACCAGGTTTAGAACTGGTGCCCTTATGGGATCCTGGCACCCAAGGTGAGGACTTTAGCCACTAGGCTACTGCGCCAGGCCCAGAACACAAATTGTTGGGCACATGGGATGCCAGCATTGCAGTCAGTGCCTTAACTAACTGTGGCTTGCATAAAATACTTTAGACTTAAATTACATTTACTTTTTCTGTAAATGCTATGGACAGTGGTACAGCATTGGAATAAAACAAAGTTTTTAATGGTGCAGAGTCTCCCTCCCTCCGTGTTGTCTCAAACAGACTGGTGGCCTAGTATTTGAACATTTTATTCTTCTGGAGGTGTTTTATGCATATGCTTTTTAAAAAATTATTTTTATTGGAAAGGCAAGTTTACAGAGAGGAGAGACAAACTGAAAGATCTTTCATCCACTGGTTCACTCCCCAAGCAGCTGCAATGGCTGGAGCTGAATTGATCTGAAGCCTGGAGTCAGGAGCTTCTTCCTGGTCTGCCATGCAGGTGCAGGCTCCCAAGGCTTTGGGCCATCCTCAACTGTTTCCCCAAGCAAGGAGCTGGATGGGAAGTGGAGCAGCTGGGACACAAACCAGCGCCGTTATGGGGTCCCAGTGCATGCAAATCAAGGATTTAGCCACTGAGCCTTCATGCCAGGCATATATATATCTAATACATATTATATATTAGATATTATATATATATATATAATTCTCAACTGCTAGCAGATACCCTGTACAGTACCTTAATGTGTTTTAGATAGTTATATGCATAGCGCTTCCTCCTTTTTTGTTAATTAACTACATATATATTATGTTGAGTATACTGTCATTTAGATTGCTTCAGCCTTTTTGTTAAAAAGTGTTACAATAAATGACTTTATGTGTTTTGCTTTGCTAAGATAAAATGAAATAAAATCAAGTAGAATAATCAGATTCAAAAATGAAAAGTAGAATCATCAGATTCAAATCTGTTTTAATTTTGACTGATGTTGCAGAACCAGCTCAGTCACCTCTTCTGTGTGGGGTTTTTCTGTTGTATAAACAGTAAATTCAACTTTAAGTGCATAATTTTGAAGCTTTTGATTTACATCTCATTCTGAGACTGACATGACCTTTTCATGTAAACTGCCTATGAGTTAATTATAGATATTTTCCCTCTATCAGGAGAAGCTGTGATCATGCTGTGCGTTACAGACCTTTATATTCCCTTGTCAAGTATCTTTCAATAAATTGCGTTGGGTTTTGCCATGCAATGATTTATCTCTGAAGTTCAGTGTCAGTTATTTACTAATAGTAAGATATTACATATATAAAAATTCAGGATCAATCTTTTAATTAACCTTAAAATAGATAATTTACATATTCATACTTTTGGTGGCAACACAGAAAAAGCATCCTGAGAACTTAAACTTGTTTCCTGCATTTTCATAAGGATTTTATCATCTTCTAGAAAATAGCAATAAAAGATTACATATTTGCATATAAAAATTTTAAAGCTAATATTGTATGTGTCTTACAGAAATATCTATGCAAGATGCTGGGGTGGCAGACATGTCTGATGCAAGCCTTCTTCATCTTTCTCACCACTGAGGCCACAAGTAAAGTTTATGACATCTGTTTCCCCACTGCATAAATTGAGTTTATATATGTTCATACAATTAAGCTTATTTTTAATAAATTATGTAATTGTTATTATTGTTTTTAGGATCATTATGTTGTCTTAAAATACTTGTAATAGGTAAACATACTTTTGATAATCTGTTTTGTGTAATTTGAGTTACAGCAGTCATTCAGTAATCCTAAATGATGTTTAGCTATACTAACAATAACTTTAAGGTAAGGAAGGAAAAGTAAAGTTTTGTTTTTTAATAAGAGAGTCTGTTAACTCTTAGTATTTTACTCCTTAAGTAACAAAAGTGTTCCCTCAGTGTGATTATGATACTAGAATGGACAGGTGTCTTGGGCAGTATCGTTCATCTCTAGTCCATAGCCTCGTAGTCCTGTGAGATCTAGTTGTAATGGGATAGAAACAGAAGCTAAGAATAAATGTTAAAACCCTCAGCAGTTTTATTTCCCATTGACATTTAAGCACATGATTAGTGGACATGTGAATATGACATAGAAAGAAAGCAGTTGATGAGAGAGTTCTGGGGGAAGAAATAGTTATCGTTGCTGGTAGTTTGAGCAGCACATCTTTAAATCAGACACTCTCTGTATTCGGGAATTAGCTTCAAGTGACACACAGTGTTACATTTGAAAGATTTACAGGGCCCGGCGCGGTGGCGCAAGTGGCTAAGTCCTCGCCTAGCACGCCCGGGATCCCATATGGGCGCCGGTTCTAATCCCGGCAGCCCCGCTTCCCTTCCAGCTCCCTGCCTGTGGCCTGGGAAAGCAGTCGAGGACGGCCCAAAAGCTTTGGGACCCTGCACCCGCGTGGGAGACCCGGAAGAGGCTCCTGGCTTCGGACCGGCATAGCATCGGGCCGTTGCGCTCACTTGGGGAGTGAATCATCGGACGGAAGATCTTCCTCTCTGTCTCTCCTCTCTGTATATCCGCCTTTCCGATAAAAAAAAATAATAAAAAATAAATCTTAAAAAAAAAAAGATTTACAGAGAAGGAAAGACAGAGAAATTTTCCATCTGTTGGTTCACTCCCAAAGTGGCCAAATTGGCCAGGGCTGAGCTGATTCAGAGCTGGGAGCCAGGAGCTTCTTCCCAGCCTCCCACGTGGGTTCAGGTCCAAGGTCTTGCGGCATGCTCTGCTGCTTTTCCAGGCCCAGAGAGAGAGAGAGCTTGATCCAAAGTGGAGCAGCTGAGACACTACACTGGTGTCCATATGGGCTGCCAGGACTTACAGCGGATTGGCCTTCTGAGCCACCATTCCTGCCCCAATTCTTTGTTTTTGTCACAGAATTTTGTTCTATATGTTTATTGTGAGAATTATTCTAACCTTTTCTGTTTTACTTTTTGTTACTACTTCCTTGGAATTGCATTTGCTGTCGGAATTTTTTATTTGAGAAACAGAGTGATAGTACTGCTACCCACAATGGACAGGGCTAGGACAAGAGCAGAAGCAGAAGGCAGGAATGCAGTCTAGGTCTTCCGTGTGGGCGCCTTGCGAACAACCCGGGCCATCTCTGCTGCCTCCCAGGACTGCAGTTGTTGGGAACCTGGAGCCAGGAGACAGAGCCAGGAGCTTTGATGCGGAAAGCAGACATTTTAGTCCTTAGACTGATGTGCCTTCTGTGTGTGCTCCCATCTCGCCCCAGGCCTCAGCAGTGCTGCAGGCTGCAGAGGAGGGGAGCCTGGCACCTCCCCTTTGCTGGAGAGTTCAGTCTAGACCCTCTGTCTGAATCAAGAGCCAGGATGGCTGATAGACAAATAGGAATCCTGTTGAAGCCTATGTGGAATGTTATCCCGTGGGCTGAAATTGGAATAGGTTCTGCTTAAGCTAGCTCATATTTGCCTTATTTGTTCATTTCCTTATAAGTTCTGACCGTATTAAATTTGAACTCTTTTCGTTTGTATATATTTTTTCTGTTTTTAGATGTGCTCTACTGCAGATTGAGGATTCTGTGTTGAGAGCTGTACCAGAAAAATTTATTCCATTTTTATGTTTTCTGTTGTTTCTTTTCAGATGTACTTGTAAATACATGTGGCCACATCACCCCAGAATCTCCGCTTGTACAAATTGGTTCTAATTTCACAGCAGTTTGTATAATAAAGGAAGAATGCATGAAAAAATTTCATGTAAATGCTAGTTATATTGTCTGGAAAATAAACCATTTCACCATTCCCAAGGAACAGTATACTGTCATCAGCAGAACAGCATGCAGTGTCACCTTTACAAATATAACGGCATTAAATGCTCAGCTCACTTGCAACATTCTTACCTTTGGACAAATTGAACAGAATGTTTATGGAGTTACACTGATTTCAGGATGTAAGTTTTGTTTTTGTCTTATTTCAAGCTTTGTCATGACTTATTTTTAAATGTTTGTTGATCTCTATGAAAAACAGTAATTTGTGGACTTTTGGATGTATTACAAAAAAAAGCAGCTTAGAAATAGTAACTGTATTTGCATTGTTCATATAAAAAAAAAAATCCAGAGAATAAACTCATTTCCTGAAGCTAAACCACTAGACAGTTTTCTAGCAAAATATATCGACACGGTACCCCCTCAAAAAAGTAGTCTTGAATTAAAAATCTTTGAATATATCCATACAGACTTTTAATATCCTTTAATTACTGATAAAATGCACAGGCCAAGCATCTATCTGATGATAGAAAATAAATCATGGAGAAAGTCCTGAAAGGCCAGAGTAGAGAAAGTGAATTTACTGCAGTCCAAAAGTGTGTTACTGAATACGTACACTGCCGCCTAGGCCTTTCCTTCGTTTTTTTTTTAGAGTTACAGAGAGGAGAGACAGAGAAAGAAATCTTCCGTGCACTGGCTCATTCCCCAAATGGCCAGAACAGGTGAACTGAGCTGATCCAAAGTCAGGAACTTCTTCCAGGTCCCCCACGTGGATGCAGGGTCCCAAGGCTTTGGGCTGTCCTCCACTACTTTCCCAGGCCACAAGCCAGGGAGCTGGATGGAAAGTAGGGCAGCTGGGACTGGAAACTGGTGGCCATATGGGATGCTGGCACTATAGACGGAGGAGTAGCTAGCTCACTGAGCCACTGCGTCAACCTCCACCCAAACTTTATTTCAGCATTTGCTTTTATTTTAGTAGAGTTTGGAAAAGTAATAAGAGAAATATAAATGGGTTATTATTCTGCTAATTTCCTCAGTATATGTAAGCACTACTTTATAAAAAACATGCTTACTGGAGAAATCAAAGGATATTTTAATCTAGTTATAAGTAAGGTTGATTTTATATAGAAAATTAATTTAAAACAAATGACAATTTCATTAGTACCTGTATGTTACTACTTAAAATAGAATTCAAGGATTGGAATAAAAAGTTTAGTTTGTAGCATTATGTTCATACTTCTAGTCTGGATTTGTGTTTTTCTAATTTAGGTATTTTTTTAGATGGTTGCATATTTTGGGAATATAAAATGTTTTTAAATGTTGATTTTCCTTTTAGTGCCTCCAGAAAAACCAACAGGCTTGAACTGCATTGTGTATGAGGATAAGAAAGTGATGGTGTGTCAGTGGAATCCTGGCAGGGAGACATTCCTAGACACAAACTTCACTTTAAAGTCTGAATGGTAAGTTACTTCTATGTTCTTTGTTGGGTTTATTTGGTTGGTCATTTTTATTGGGATTTTTATTTTGTCACATGATAAAAAATGCAAAAATAAACAATGTTAAAGAAAAATCCCCAGGCACCCAACACTGAGTTTCAGCAGTGATCAGCTCATAGTCTGCCTTTAAATATACTTAACATCCACCCCATATTCAAGAAAATTTCATATTATCTCATCCATAAATATTTTAGTATATGTAATCAGAAGGTAAGGATACTGTTTTCTTTTTTTTTTTTTTTAGATTTATTTTTATTACAAAGATATACAGAGAGGAGGAGAGATAGAGAGGAAGATCTTCCATCCCATGATTCACTCACTCCCCAAGTGAGCACAATGGTCAGTGCTGTGCCGATCCAAAGCCAGGAGCCCGGAACCTCCTTCCGGGTCTCCCACATGGGTGCAGGGTCCCAAGGCCTTGGGCTATTCTCAACTGCTTTCCCAGGCCACAACCAGGGAGCTGGATGGGAAGTGGAGCTGCCAGGGCTAGAACTGGTGTCCATATGGGATCCCAGCGCATTCAAGGCGAAGACCTTAGCTGCTAGGCCACACTGCCACTGGACCCAGGATACTGTTTTCTTTTGTTAAAGATGCTATAGCCGCACATACCTACTTCGGCCATAAGTAATTTCTGATATTTTGCTATCATCTGCTTTTTGGTTGGTGTCACTGTCCCTGTCAGTGTCACATGTTAGTTGCGCCAGTGTCTGGATGAGCTCTGTATGTTGCAGATCTGGGTCTGTAAGCTTCTCAGACTGCAGGTTCTGCTCCTTCCCTCCTTGTTTGTCCTTACAGTTTCTTTGGCCATTACTCGTTGCTGAGCTGCTGTGAAACCAGGAGCTTGGAATTTCTTGCTGGGTCTGTCATGTGGTCCAAGGCCCAAAGCCTTGGGACCCTGCATCCACGTAAGAGACCCAGAAGAGGCTCCTGGCTTCAGATCAGTTCAACTCCAGTTGTTGTGGCATTTTAGGGAGTGAGCCAGTGGATGGAAGATCTTTTTCCTTGTCTCTCCTCTCCATAAATCTGATCTGCCTTTCCAATAAAGGTAAATAAATCTTAAAAAAAAAATGTATGTATTAACCCAGTTATGGTTATTGTTCTTCTTTAACATTGCTTAAATTGTCGATCTCTGGTCAGTGGAAGTTTATTCAGGTTGGCTCATGAATCCTTTTGGTGAATCTTGCTTAGTTCTTGATAGTTACATGATTTTTGGTGTGTCATTTTCTAGGTCCATGTTATATATTTCCTCATGTTTTTCCTCACCTGACCGTCATCTTAGTCATTTCCCAAGGAGTATTGGTTCCATTTTTTGTGTGGAAAAAAATATTTAGGACCTATAAGCTGGATGCTGAGGGAATTCATTGAGACTTGAAGAAAGAGCTAAGAAATGTTTAGTTTGAGATAAAAGTCATCACATAAATGTGAGGTGCTTGGACCCGGCATGATGGCCTAGTGGCCAGATCCTCATCTTGCATGCGCCAGGATCCCATATGGGCACTGGTTCATGTCTTGGCTGCTCCATTTTCCATCCAGCCCCCGGCTTGTGGCCTGGGAAAGCAGTAGAGAACAGTCTTGGAAAGCAGTGGGACCCTGCATCCACACGTGTGATCTGGAAGCTCCTGCCTCCTGGGTTTGGATCAGCTCAGCTCCAGCCATTGCAGCCACTTGGGGAGTGAACCCGCAGGTGGAAGACCCTTTTCTCTGTATGTCCTTCTCTCTGTTGAAATACCTTTCCAATAAAAACAATGCAAATCTTAAAAAAAAAAAAAAAAGTGGGATGTTTGGGCCTTATTTAGGAGTGCCTGGATTCAGTTCCTGATTCTGGCTGTCAGTTGCTGCTTCCTGCTGGTGTAGGTTCTGGAAGGTAGCAGGTGATGGCTCACCTGATTGAATCTCTCCCATCCATGTGGGATATGTGAGCGTGTTCCTGGCTCCTGGCTTTGGCATGTTACAGTCCTGGCTGTCACAGGCATTTGGGGAATTAGCCAGCAGATGGGAACACATTGTTTGCCATAGATAGATAGTCTATAAATTATATACATGAAAAAGTAATACAAAGCTTTATATGATAGAAATCACAGTTATAATTGGGGTTAACTAGTAAGAGACCCTACTCTCTAGTCTTCTGCTTAGTGATGTAGACTGCTGGTAAAATAAGGATGCTGTTTCAGTGATGGCGAAAAACAAAGTAGTCCCCCTTTACCTCCGTTTTAGTTGCCTGCTGTCAACTTCAATCTGAAAATATTAAGTGGAAAATTCCTGACATAAGCAATCTGTAAGCTTTCAATCCCATGCCACTCTGGTGCCATCATGTGCTGCTCAGCTCCTTCCTGATGTGACTCATCCCTTTGCCCGGAGTGTTGATGCTGCTTACCTCGCCCACCAGGGGGCACATTGGGCATCATTGGCCTTCTCAGTTGCCAGGTCGACTGCCCGCGGGTTTATATTCTCTGTGTTATTTACCTAATAAAGTAACTAAAACACAAGACTGGTGATTCTGAAATGCTGAAAAGAAGCTGTGCAATGCTTCCTTTTCAGGGGCAGGGGATGTCCGGCCTGCAGGCTCTTACAGAGGCTGAGAAATCGTTTGGTCTGACCCTGCCAACACAGCTGTAGGCAGGGCTCAAAACTCTGTGAACCAATAGCAAGCTAATTTTTTAAGTAGGTAATTTTGTTTGGCCTACACATGATGCTAAAAACCAAATGGCCCTTTGAAGAAAAACCTTTTTGTGAAAAAATAAAAGGTCTTAAATTAATAGGAAAGAAAATGACATGGTTACTGTGTCACATAATGCAATGTAATTAATTTTAAAAAATAAAATAAAAAATAAAAAGGTGGAGAAATGAGAAAAAAAGGAACAAATATATGAACTTGTGATAAAAGCTATAGTAATATGTGACATCACTGTAGGAGCTACAATAAAGTCAGGGGTAGCACACAGCAGGAAGGACCCCCACAGTCTCAAACAGTGATCTGCCAGTTCTCAGGCAGCATAACCAGGAAGCATGGGTGAGAGTTGTATTTTTATGGGGCGGCTCCAGCAGTGCTGCTTCTAAGAGGAGAACAAGTACTTCAGAGAGGAAGGGTTGGAATGTAAGGTCCTGATAGTAATAGACAATACACCTGGCCGTCCTGACTCTGTGCTATGCCAATACTAAAATTTTGAGGCATCATTTGGCTACTAAGGGTGTGACACACCTGCCTGGTGTTTGATCACTGTCAATCACCAGTTGATGCATAACCTGGTTTGCACATACTGATACAGTGCTGGGAATCCTCCAGTGTGTCAGCACAGGGTGACATTCATCACATTTGAATTAAAGCAAGCTATCAATGCCTACTGGAGGGACTGAGAGTAAAGTGTCAAATGATCTTAAAAGATTCCAGGGGAAGTTAGGAAAATCTCTGTGGCAAGACAAGCTCAAGAAGGATTTGCCAATAGACTTAAAGAATCTGTTGAAGGCCATTGAGAAGATCACAAATAAGGAACTGAATTGACAGTTAAATCATCTATATAAGGAAAAGGAAGGTGAAGAGAAGAAAATGACGCCAAACTAGTAATGTGATTATTACGAAAATCTGTCAGTGTTTCAAGTTTCACAGACAGCAAACAACCAAAATATGCATTATAATCCTGGGATGAAACATAGCATTAACATTACTCAGATGATTGCAAAACGACTGCCTCCAAGCAGTGCTTTCATGAGTTAAAGATGAAAACCTTTGATTGATTATACCAAGTACTTTTTGAAAATTATGGAAAAATGAAGTTAAAGGATAGCTTTATTGAAATCATGCTATTTTTTTTTCTACATTACTCAATATTCATGACATTTTTGAAGTAGCCTCATAACATTTCTCCTAGATTTAAGCAAGGCACTTCGATAGTGAAAGACCTCAATCATGACTGAATGTTCCTGGATAGCCCAAAGTAGATGATCTTGCTGTAACCTCATCAAAAAGTCCATGGTGGCCTAATGGTATCTCCTAACTACATCTATAGACCAAACCACAGTACATGTAGGGTTCAAGCTTCCCATTGGGAGTCTTGGAACATAGTAATGCAGGTAAGAGGTGTCACAAGGAAGTAGGTAGTTTTGATAGATGATTCAGTGAGAGTGGAGCTTAAAATTCTGGAGTACAGTAGTATTAAACTTAAAATTTGAACCTAATTTTGTGATTTCAACTGTATCAAACTGAGTTTAAGGAATGGCTTGTTGGGCCCGGCGCGGTGGCGCAGTGGTTAGGGTCCTTGCCTTGCACGCCCGGGATCCCATATGGGCGCCGGTTCTATCCCGGCAGCCCCGCTTCCCTTCCAGCTCCCTGCCTGTGGCCCGGGAAAGCAGTCGAGGACGGCCCAAAGCTTTGGGACCCTGCACCCGCGTGGGAGACAGGAAGAGGCTCCTGGCTTTGGATCGGCATAGCATCGGCCGTTGCGTTCACTTGGGGAATGAATCATGGGACGGGAGATCTTCCTCTCTGTCTCTCCTCTCTGTATATCTGCCTTTCCAATAAAAAAATAATAAAAATAAATCTTTTAAAAAAAAAAGAATGGCTGGTTAATTCATGAAAAAAATTTTTTTAGTCAACAATGTATTGCAAACTTTACTACAACATTCTCACATTTCAAATAATTAATTTTTTGCATCTGTTTTTAATAACTTTTCCAATTTTATATGTAGGGCAACAGAGAAGTTTGCTGATTGCAAAGCAAAACGTGAGGCCCCTACTGTGTGTGTTGTTTATAATCCTGTGTATTTTGTGAACATTGAAGTCTGGGTAGAAGCACAGAATGCCTTTGGGACTGTTGCATCAGATCATATCAATTTTGATCCTGTGGATAAAGGTAATTATAACTCTAAATTTGGGAGTTTATTAGCTTAAACAGGGTTTACAAGCTTTCAGATTTTAATTTAGAAATGAACATTTACTTAATTGATTTTTCTTATAAAGCCATTTTGTCATCAGTGTTAAATATAACTTGGAAAAAGAAAACCATCCCTAATCCCAACATTCACAGCTGTTTTTCCTTTGAATATGATCTTGTGTTTGCCCAGTTCTCAAATATTTTATATTGTTTACAATCACAGTATATCTGTTCCATGTTTTTTTGTAGTTTTTGATATATCCTAAGTATTTAGTGCCTGAACTTGAAAAGATTAGCAAAGTTAAGCTGTTTTCAAAACTAGCTTCTTCAGACGCCTTTTCTTTCTGTTGCATGGTGTAGCATAATATCACTTTCAGAGAATGTGGTTCATTTGGTAAGGATAGCTAAAAAAAAATATACAGTATTTATTTACAAAGTTACAAAACATGATAAACATTCAGATTTATTTTTATTCCTCAGTGAAGCCCAACCCACCTCACAATTTATCAGTGAGCAATTCTGAGGAACTGTCCAGTATCTTAAAGTTATCCTGGGTCAATCCAAGCATTAAGAACGTGATAAGACTGAAGTATAACATTCAGTATAGGACCAAAAATGCCTCAACTTGGAACCAGGTAAATTGAAAGTTACCATTTATTCAGATTTTTCTTGCAGCCACTAACTACGTTTTGGTTATGTGTATTAACATCTCTTTGCATTCCTTGCATAAAGCAAGGGGAGACAGGCGGACATCCAGTTGGAATATATAACTTTACTGTGTATGTAGCCTTGAAGTAAACCATGCTAGAGATGCAGCTTTATAGAACAGCATTTGGATGGTCCTTTAGTGAAAGAAACACAAGTCATAATAGAATTAACTTGAATGAAAATAAAGAGTAAGACAAAACATTTTTAGCATACTATAGTCCACAGGCCAAGTTCAACATATCACCTATTTTTGTAATTTATTTTATTGGAAGACAGCCACAATCATTTGCTTACATTTTACCTCTATTTTTGTGCTACAGTGGAGAAGTTAAGTAGCTAAAACTGGATGGCTTACAAGCCTAAAATATTTTCCATCTGCCCTTCATAAAAAGCTTTCCAACCCTTGGGATAGAGGAGATTGCTAGGGGATTTCTAAGGTTGGAAAGAAAAAAGCGTAGTGTAGTCAGAGGTGAAGCTGTCCGAGGTACCTGGAGCTTTGGGATAGCACTGAGCTGGCTGTGCTGTCCTTTGCCGTGCTTCTCTGTCACCAACAGTTGGCTTCAACCTTATTGTTGCTGCGCTTTTAGCCATATGAGTTTCTAGGTGAATTGAGTCTGTGACCTTTCGTGCTCCTGTTCTCCACCCACATTTACCTAAAGGGCTCAGAATACAATTAGAAAAAAAAATGGTTGTACAGAGACATACATAAATTCTTTCAAATGTTTTATTAATATATGAATTGAGTTGCCAAAACTTGGCATCTCTTTGTATTCCATTGAAACCTCACAGTTCTAGATTGAGCCAGAGTGTTTTTAATCTGTGTTTAATCTCTTCTATCTTCTGGATGCCCAGGTTTTTATGAATGAAATAGTTAAGAAAGAAAGAAACCAGGTTAATGTACTATGATAGCTTTTTTTCCCTTGACTTTCCTGTTTCAACTATCAGGATCTACACTCTAGCCTCAACTGCTCCACTAATATCGTAGCAGTTATGTGTGGGTTCCTACTTGTTCAGCTCTCTAGTTGAGTTTGGTTAACTGGCAGAACAGAGAAGGGAAAGAGAAGTGAGTTCTCTGTTTACTTCCCCGGCTTCCTTCCGGGGGCTGGCTGTGTGCATCTAATGGGAAGATTAGGAAGGCCAGGGCTCCTGTGAGACCCTCCTCCTTCGGCTCCCGGTGCTGCCTCTTACCTCACTGGGCTTCAGGAGTGATGACAACCACGAGCCCCCAAGTGCCAACTGCCCCATCTAGGGGCTCCGTTTCTTGTCCTCATCCCTTGCTTACATTCTTCCGAATTCTACATGCAGTTTGCCATGTGTTTCCTGCTAAGATAATGAGTGTAATAGGCCCCATGGAATCAAAAAATAAAATTGAAAAACAGCAATAGATGTTTCTGTACTTCTCAAACTTTACAACTTCAGTGTTTTTAACTGCTTTTCAGTTATATTTATTCTTCAGAGATTGAGTCTATTTTGATAGTCTTTTCTCATTAAGTTGGTTATTAAAATCTTGCATAATACAGATGTTTATTGGCCTTTTTGGCTACTTGATTTACTTTGTTTTCAGATTCCTCCTGAAGATACATCGACCACCCGATCTTCATTCACTGTCCAGGACCTTCAGCCTTATACTGAGTATGTGTTTAGGATGCGCTGTATGAAGGAAGATGGTAAGGGATTTTGGAGTGACTGGAGTGAAGAAGCAAATGGTATCACATATGAAGATAGTAAGTAAATAAATTTGAAGAAATAATTTTGGAATTCTTCCCATGATTTATTTCTGATATTAACAATAGACCTTGGTCCAGCACTATGGCATAGCAGGTGAAGCTATTCCATTGATGTCAGCATCCCATACGTGGCTTTACTTCTGATCCCCTTCCTTGCTAATGGCCTGGGCAAAGCAGTACAAGATGGCCCAGAAGAAGCTCCTGGCTCCTGGCTTCAGCCTGGCTCAAACCTGGCTGTTGGTTGCTGTTGCGGCCATATGGGGAGTGAACTAGTGGATGGAAGATGGAAGATCTCTGTCCCTCTCCCCATTCCCTCCATCTCTGTAAAAATGGATTGCAAGTAAATAAACAAATCTTTTAAAAATACATATATAGACCTCATTGCTTGTTGTTTGGTGATTATTTTATTCAAAATCATTTAAACTTGATTTTTAAGGTTGCCAGGTTATAAAATTTGGGTGGTCATTGGACATAGCTGTTAAGGCGCTGCTTGGGATGTCAGCATTACAATTAGGTTTGAGTCCAAGCTCTGCTTCTGATTCCAGCTTCCTGCTGATCCGTGCACTGGGAGGCAGCAGGTAGTGTCTCACATTCTTAGAATCCCTGCCATCATGCTGGATTCCTGGTTGAGTTGTTAGCTCCTTGCTTTGCCTGGCCCAGTCTACTCTACTGGACTTCTGGAGAGTAGTCCAAGCAGACTTAAGATCTCCAAATAAAGTTAAAACAAATGGAGAAGATGTAAACTTTGATATGTATTATATATAGGAGAAGTCTGTTTGGTATCTAACTAAATTCCTATGGAAAGGTGTATTAAATACCATGAGAAATACATTGTTGTAACTGTTAATAAGTCTAGGATATTTTACTCAAGGGGAGTAATCCAATGCTAACCCTAACTAGAGAATCCTCTCCTAAACCATTAGAAGTCATACTACCTAGCAGATACACCTTAGCTCCTCATTATCAAAAGGATTGTATTATACCTTTTACTTTTTTTTCTAATAGTCCTTGATAAGATCCTGCAATAGGCTTTGACAATGGAGTTGTGGTTAGTTGATTTCTTTTTGTTCTTTTTCCTCTCAGAGGTAATCTATTGCATATAGTGTGGAAGATAAGACACTAGAGGGTGTAAGATGGTTTAAAGTAACATTCTCTTTCCAAAGTAACTAATGTTACCTGGTGAAATCTTACCCTTTCCATGTCAGGGTAGCAGCTATGGCTTAGTCTCCTCTGCCTCTCTCTTCTCTTCTGTCTCTACTGTAGGTTTCAGTCCTGTGAATTAAGTATAAAAGAGATGTACCTTTCTTCTCTGAATTCTATCACTTTCAGAAAGGCCAGGAAGAAAAGCAGTCCTGCTGTGGCTGGTTTGGGGGTCCTGTATCAGATTCCTATTTTGTTTGGGAAAGATCATAACACATTTAAAATGTAGGCAAAATGTTGTGGTTAATTTTTGTGTGTACTTTTCTGGGGAGAAAGTACTTAAACATCGTCAAATCAAAGAGATGTGTGGCACCCATAAGGTTCAGACCTAGTGTACCGAGCATCTCTTCATTGTAGTGACTGGAGCCTCTAGGTTGTATCTGTGGTGGGAAATATTTCTGTCCTGTAAGTTGGTCACGATTCTGTGTTTGTGCTGCACAGTACTCCTGCGTGTATCTTCGCCTCTTCCGCAGCCTTCCTGGGCTGCCCACCCCCGTCCTCAGCTTTGTCACCTGTGGTTGCCTTTCCACAACCAACACACCACTCTGGGGATTTTATTCAGATTTTCATTCTGTTGATTACCATGCCATGCTTATAATTACCTTAAACACTTTTTTTTTTTAATCAGTCAATAGAGGCATTTAAAAAAACATATTTACTGGTATTTGACATTTACTAAACCTTATCACTCTGAATCATCCCAATGTAAATTTAATCTGTTTACCAAAATTTGCATAGCGTTTTTAAATAATTTATTCAAAAGAGCAAGAGAAAGGTATTCCATGCACTGGTTCACTTTCTAAGTGCCTGCAATGGCCCCTGGACCACGTCAGTGCCAGGAGCCAGGGTCACCGTCTGTCACCATCTGCTGCTTTCCCAGCATGCGGGCAAGGAGCCCAGTGAGGGGCAAAGCAGCCAGGACTTGTGCTGTTGCTGTGACATGTGATGTCAGCATCAGAGGCGGCAACTTTGCCTCGGTGTGCCGCAGTGCCAACCCCGTGTGTTCTCGCGTGTGTGTAGAGGTTCTAAGCATGTATTTTAATGTGATTTTTCAATATTCTTTGCAAAAAGCAGTAACAATTTTTTTCACAGATAAAAATTTTCTTTGAAGAACAAGTAGTATCAACTCAACAGAGGTAAAAAGAATAAAATCTAAGAAGTGATTTGTTGACCATGAAGACCCAGTTGCAGGTGTCAGAACACCTAAGAGCAGAGGAAGGGCTGGGGAAGACTGTCCATATAGGAGGAAACTAAAATACACAGACAGGTGCAGGTCAGGACCCCAGCAGTAGAGGATGTGAAATCTCAGGGCATTTGGAAAAGAGCAAAGTGAGGCTGCTTTGGCTAGTGCTCAGGGCTTCAGCGCTGAGGACGCCTTTCCACATTTACCTGAAATTGTAAGAGTGAAGAAAGAGTCCCAGCATGAGGTAAGTCAGCAGTCGTCACTGCGACTCAAGGAAGACAGCTGGCTTGTGCTAGGCTGGGAGAACACTGGCCTAAGGAGTAGGACTGGAGCTGAAGGGTTGGGATTTTAAGAACAAGGTAGAAGAATTGGCAGGATTTTATTTGATTTTTAAAGCTTTTTATTTTAGAATGTTTGTGTGTTTTCTTTAGGGCCATCCAAATCACCAAGTTTCTGGTATAAGATGGATCCATCCCATACATCTCATAATCACGGCTATCGATCTGTACAACTCATATGGAAGGTAAAAGAAGCTTTTTTCTTGTGTAGATGCATTTTCTGTGGTGAGAAAGCAGCTCCTAAACACTTTGTATTCATCATCTTAGCAGCAAAGCATTCGAAAAACATTTTTAATAGAAACACAAAGCTTTATATATACTGTGTAGGAGCCAGCTTCAAAAACTGAAGCTAGTAAGCACCTCAGGTAATTCAGCACAGCTCTGTACATTATAAATTCTCTAAGGAAAGGGACTTGTTTTGCACTTGATTGAATTTGCCAGAGAAAATTAATATAATTAATAGAAATTGGAATAATCAAAAATGTTGATAAATTGATAATGAGTATATCATGTATTAAAAGAAAATTTTTTGTGTGTGTGTGTGTGTCTTATTTTTTTTTTTTATTGTTGCTTACATTGTATTATGTAGTACAGTTTTATAGGCGCTGGGGACTCCCCCCACCCCTCCCATACCCCTCCCCCCATGGTGGATTCCTCCACCTTGTTGCATAACCATAGTTCAAGTTCAGTTGAGATTTATTGCTTGCAAACACATGCCTAGCATAAAGTTCAGCGTCTTATTGTCCAGATAAGTTCAGTGGCCTCTTGGGGAGACCTTCTATGGTCTGAAGATAGGTCTAACAGAGTAAAGATCCGGTCAGTTAAAAGCCCCAACAAGGCCTCAGTATCAATATACAACATTATGGAATTAATTGACATAGTATTGGGTAAACAATATGTTAAAAATAATGCAAGTTCCCTTCTTCGAAACATCTGGGTTGAGACAGTATCAATGACAGGTTCAAAAAATAACTAAAAGAAAATTAAAACATAACAAATAGTTTAGGTCCAGATAGTAGGGAATTGTATACAGAACTAAAAACTAATAGAACACAACCACTTTCCCCTCTTGCTGTTAATACTTTTACTTTTCCTTTGGAATATAGTAATGTTACTTTAGTACCAAGTCAAATGAGGTTGCTAGTCCTTCCCAATGCAATATTTAGAGGTTTTACATAAATTGTGAATCTGAAGAAACTGATGAATTCAACTGATCATTTTTATGAAATTTTTCTTTTTGAATTTTGTTATAGACATTGCTTCCTTTTGAAGCCAATGGGAAGATCTTGGATTATGAAGTGACCCTTACAAGATGGAAATCACATTTACAAAGTTACACAGTTAATGACACAAAACTGACAGTAAATCTTACGAATGATCGTTACAAAGCAACTCTGACAGCAAGAAATCTGGTTGGCAAGTCAGACCCGTCTGTTTTGATTATCCCCTCCTGTGACTTTAAAGGTTTGTGTCTGTGGGGTGGAGAATGGCTCGTGGGTGTTTGGGTGTGGCCAGGACTCTGGAAACACAGAAGTAGTCCGGGGCTAGGTCGTCAGTGTCAGGGACAACAGGATTTTCAGAAATCAGCTGGCATGTGGTATCAGGATGGATCATGGTTTTAGAAATTGGCCAACGGGCAGATTTCATCAGAATGGATGGAATACTGCTCTCACCACATGGCTCACTTAAACCTTACCTTAAGATTGAGCTCATTTGAGCGCTTTCGAATTACTTTGAGATTCTTGAAGCATTTACGATCTTATTTGCATACGTCATAAACACAGTAGTTAATTGCAAACCTATGGTTTCAACGACCCATAGTGAGCTGTAATCTGAAGGAAGTAAATGGAAAATTCCAGAAATAAAAGTTTGTAAGGTTGGTTTTTTTTAAGATTTATTCATTTCTATTACAAAGTCAGATATAGACAGAGGAAGAGAGAGAGAGGAAGATCTTCCATTTGATGATTCACTCCCCAAGTGACCACAATGGCCGGTGCTGTGCCAATCCGATGCCAGGATCCAGGAACTTCCTCCAGATCTCCCACATGGATACAGGATCCCAAGGCCTTAGGCTGTCCTCAACTGCTTTCCCAGGCCACAAGCAGGGAGCTGGATGGGAAGTGGGACTGCCAGGATTAGAACCAGTGCCCATATGGGATCCCGGTGCATTCAAGGCGAGGACTTGAGCCGCTCGGTCACCGTGCCAGGCCCAAGTTCGTAAATTTTAAATTGTGTACCGTTCTGAGTAATGCAGTTACATCTCATTACCTGCCCCTAACCAGTTCCAGCCGGGGTGTGAATCGCCCTCATCTAGTGCGTGCACGCGGCTCCTACCCTTCAGTGCAGGGCTGATAGTGGCCACGGTGCACGAAAGCAGAGCTGGCAGCTCGCGTGGGCCGGGGAGGCTGTAGAGCACTTTAGGTTTGTAGGAAAGTTATAGTTGATGTGCAGTTTGGTCTTCTGCTGCCTGAGGTATTCCCTGGGGGTCTTGGGACATAGCCTGTAAACAAGAGCCGAGGCTGCTCTGCGCAAAGGTCTTCAAAAAGTTCAAGGGAAATGCATATTAGGAAAAAAATACATGTTTTAAAAAATTTTGCACCAAAACAAATATCTTTTGATTACATTTCGTTATGTTTTTTTTTTGAAGTACCTTTGTATTGTTTATTCATGCTTTCAAAGAAAAAATTGTAATTACAAACATATAAAACACTTGAAGAATTATGGTAAAGGGAATTCAAATTTAAAAATGCGTTATTGGGCCTGGCATGGTAGCCTAGCAGCTGAAGTCCTCACTTGGCACTTGCCAGGATCCCATATGGGCGCCAGTTCTAATCCTGGCGGCCCTGCTGCGCATCCAGCTCCCTGCTTGTGGCCTACGAAGGCAGCTGGGGACAGCCAAGGTCTCGGGACCCTGCGACCCGTGTGGGAGACCCAGAAGAGGCTCAGCTCCAGCTGTTGCAGTCACTTGGGGAGTGAATCATCAAGTGGAAGATCTTCCTCTCTCCTTCTCTCTGTATATCTGACTTTGCAATAAAAATAAATTATTTTAGAAAAAACTGCCTGCCTTACATGTAAGCCATAATATGAGTGCTTTTATTCATGTTCATCTCAAAAACCCAATTATGGAAATATGTTTATAAATAAATGAGTCATGTTCTAATGTAAATTTTTGTAACCGCATTCAAACTTTGTCTTAAAGCTACTCGCCCCGTGGTGGATCTTAAGGCGTACCCCAAAGATAACCGGCTCTGGGTGGAATGGACCGCTCCAGGTGAGCCTGTGAAGAAGTACATCCTGGAGTGGTGCGTGCTGTCGGCCAAATCGCCCTGTGTCCCGGACTGGCAGCAAGAGGACGGAACCGTGCATCGCACCTACTTAAGGGGTAGGCCTGACCGGAAGCATTGAAAGTGACAACCTTGCCAGTCACAGTAGACAGTGGTTCCGGTTTTGTGTTTGCGTATTTGTTTCTGTAGCCCATTGAGAAGACTTCTGGTTACAGCAGTTGTGACTGTAAGCACATTTCACCTGACCCCTCGGAACTACAAGGGTTCCTTTTCAGCAGTGAAGTCAGTGCTGTCTCTCTGTGTCCTAACATTGCTTTACACATCTGTGAGGCGGCGGGGAGGGTCCTGCCGGGGCTGCCGAGGCGACGTGTTCTCTGTGCGGTGCCATCTGCGCCTGCTGAGACACTGCAGTCTCCTAGAGCGTCTGAAGGGCTCAGCTTAGTGCTCTCAGCTGGTGCTAGCAGAGGACAGGAGGTGGTGAGGTAGATTTCCAGGGAGGACTGTTCTGTGAAGGTGTCATTTAGTAAGCGGCTGTAAAGTGATGTAACAGCTTTCAGCAGAGACAAACCACTCAGGATTTTAGTACAGAAAGAATTTTTAGAAGTTAGCTGTGAATAATTAACTAATAAAAGAAAAGCCATGACAGGAATACCAGCTATAAAGTTTTGAGGCTTTGTTCATAAAATAGACTGGCTCTCATTAACTAACCTGTTAGGTAATATACAGGTTTTTGTTTTAAGTGTTTTTGCTTTTTGTAAGTTTCATTTATTTGAAAGACTGCGTTAGAGAGGAGGAGAATCTTCATCTGCTGGTTTACTGCCCAAATGGCTGCATCCACCAGGGATGCGCGGGCCAGGGCAGCAGCCTCCCCCGTGGGCGCAGAGGCCCAAGCCATCCTCCGTTGCTTCCCCAGATGCATTTAGCAGGAAGCCAGATTGGAAGTGCAGCATCCAGGACTTGAACCAGGGACCATATGGAATGTGGAAGCGACAGGTGCCAACTTAACCACTACACCACACCAACCCCTAATAAACAGTTTTAATAAGCCTGTTAGCCCAACATGTTAACCTTATCAAATTAAAAAACATGATGGACTAGGAAAAAAAAAACAGATTGGAAATAATTTGATGATAGGAACTTGTTTAAGATTTATTTATTTTTATTGTAAAGTCAAACATACAGAGAGGAGGAGAGACAGGAAAATCTTCTGTATTCTGATTCATTCCCCAAATGGCTGCAATGGCTGGAGCTGAGCTGATTGAAAGCCGGGAGCCAGGAGCTTCTTCCGGGTCTTCCACATGGGTGCAGCGTCCCAATGTTCTGGGCCGTCCTCGACTGCTTTCCCAGGCCACAAGCAGGGAGCTGGATGGGAAGTGGCGCTTCTGGGATTAGAACCAGCACCCATATGGGATCCCGGCACTTTCAAGGCGAGGACTTTAGCTGCTAAGCTACCATGCTGGGCCCAGTGATAGGAACTTGTTAAACAATAGCATGGCAAGAGTCTTTAGAAACGAAGGTTGGGCAGGAAGCCTGCTAGAGTTTGGTGGACAGCCCTGAAAATATCACTGTTAGCAGAATATAAAAATGGTTTATTCTTTGATAATGTCACATCAACAACAGAAAAAATTACTAAAGAAGGCAAATAGATATGTAACTTTCTGAATAAGAGTTATGGAAAATACAAATTCTTATTGAAGGGCTGTATTCAGTATAAACATTAATATCCTGTTACGGATATTATGCTATCTAAAGAAATTTTACAGTTGCATGCTATAAAATGGATTACTGTGAAAACTCGAGTAATTCTAAATAGAAGGAGGATATTAAATATTCTTTTCTTTTACAATTGGGTAGGAGTTAAGACTAATACTTCAATTTTTTCAACCTTTCCTTTCTATTTTGCTCAGCCGGCAAATCTCTGACAATTCGGTGAGATACCAAAAATCATCAAACTTAAAGGAAGATCTAAAATGATTTGAGATTAGTATTTTGTGAATCATTAATATACATGTTGCCATTACTCTTGTAATTAACATATTGAAGGGCCCGCTGCGATAGTGTAGTGGTTAAAGTCCTCACCTGGACGTGCCAGGATCTTATATGGCCCCGGTTCTAATCCTGGCAGCCCCGTTTCCCATCCAGCTCCCTGCTTGTGGCCTGGGAAAGCAGTCGAGGACGACTCAAAGCATTGGGACCCTGCACCCATGTGGGAGACTTGGAAGAGGCTCCTGGCTCCTGGCTTAAGATTGGCTCAGCTAGGGCGTTACTGTCACTTGGGGAGTGAATCATCGGACAGAAGATCTTCCTCTCTGTCTCTGCTCCTCTCTATATTATCTGCCTTTCCAATAAAAATAAATAAATCTTTAAAAAAAATTGAAAACTTTTTACTCCGTGGCAATAAAAGTAGCCTTTAATTTTTATGAGTAGTTTTACTCTATTAAGTTGATTTGATTACACAGAAGATATTGCTTGCTTAGAAAAGTACAGTTTGAAGAGAGTCTAGTGGTCCTGAAATAATGATTCAGACTACATAATAAGAGTTTGAAAAAAATGCTTCCTCTGCTTTCTTCCTTCAGGGAACCTTGAAGAGAGTAAGTGCTACTTGATCACGGTGACCCCTGTTTACACAGACGGGGCTGGGGTCCCCGAGTCTGTGAAGGCGTACCTCAAACAAGCGCGTAAGTCCACATCACTGGCTGCGGAAGCGTTGAGAGCGCAGCTGCAGCGGATGCTTCTTTACACGAAATATGGATGTGTCTCATTACGTTCAAATAATTTTATTGTAAGAAAATGTGATAAATTTGAATGATTCTCTAGATTCTAACAGGTTTCATTTAGCAAATGCCTTCTCTTGCAGCACCGTCCAAAGGCCCTACTGTTCGGACAAAGAAAGTGGGGAAAAACGAAGCTGTCCTGGAGTGGGACCAACTTCCCGTTGATGTTCAGAACGGCTTTATCAGAAATTATACTATATTTTATAAAACTACCATTGGAAATGAAACTGGTAATAAAACTGTCTTCTTATTAAAGATAAGATTGTTCTTAAATTTCTATAAATGCCAATTTCTCACCTCAAGCTAGACAGCGTATTATAACATGATATTCTCAGAAAAGACCCCTAAGATATGACTTGTGGCTGCTTCCCCGACTCTGTTTTGGTTGTTTTTGGTTTGTGCTGTGTTGCGTGCTCAAAGAAAAATACTGTGTGGGTTACGAAAGCTGTTTACGGCCGTGCTATTCTCCAATGCTGGCCCGTGCGGGCTGACGGCCGGCGCCCGCTGAAGCCTGGGTCTCGTCTGGGTGTCTTGCAGCCGTGAACGTGGACTCCTCCCACACAGAGTACACCCTGTCCTCCCTGGCGAGCGACACCCTGTACATGGTGCGCATGGCGGCCTACACTGACGAGGGGGGCAAGGACGGGCCAGAGTTCACCTTCACCACACCCAAGTTCGGTAAGAGATCATCACATTCGGCCTTTTTTTTTTTTTTTTTTTTTTTTAAACAGACTAGAAATTATTTTTGTGCCTGCATTTTGTTTAGAAGTATATCTTTGCACTCCTCTAAGTATTCATAAATTAATTTTATAATGCTTGGTGTTGATGACTTTGAATTGTAGAAAATACTATTCGTCACCTTTTTCTTTTTTTTTAACTGTTCGTGGCTGGATTCACCTGTCCCTTTAACTCGTACATCTGCCTGAGAGGGTTCTTTTATTCCATGCTACTAGTTCAGAGGCACAGGGATCTCTCCCCTTCCCTCCCTATTTTCCTCTCCTGCCATCTTCCCAATAACGTAGTCCTTTAGTAACGGTTCGGAGTTTAACATTCTGCTGTTCAAGTGTGGCACGGCGTTGTAGGTACAGGCGCAGGTAGAGCATCTGGCCTTTAGAGGTTTGTGTGTGGTGCCTTTCCTTTTTCTCTTCTCCTGGTCAGTCTTTCTGTAGGTCAGTTACCGTCGGCGGGCCTCACAGGTTCCCCATGCCTGCCTGCCGGAATCTGCCTTCCCGCCCCACCACACCACCGAGGCACCTGCTGCGCCCGCCTGGTCTGGTCCGCCATGTGTGCGTAGTCTTTCTGCCACCCTCTTTGGCGTTTAACCTTGTTGGCTACTCCATCCCTGACGTTGCCCCTTCCCTTGCCTCAGCCTTGTGCTCAGCTCCTACCCTCCTGAAGTTCCTCCCTCCTGTTCCCTTTTCTTGCTTTACTTTTAATTTGCATTCTCAGAGTTCTGCTCTTGGCCTTACTTTTCTGTGTATTCAAACTTCCTTGACCATGACTTTGGCATTTTCCTTCTCAAGTATGTATCTCTTCCTTTGATACGTTCTGTAGCCCTCTCACCCTCTGCTGAGGCCATGAATTTAGATATGAGCGCAACACATTTTTCAGATCTTTTCCCTCAGGTAGACTAAATGCCAGGGCCTCTTCCTCCTCAGCACTGCTTGTGCCTGCTCCTTCAGAATCATTTCCTGCTTGGGCTGCACGCTCCTCACCGTCTTCTCTCTCAGCCCAGTACAGTGCAGCAGTTCAGGCCCTGCTCTTGGTTTGGCCCTCCTGGATTCTCTCAGCAGTCTTAATGCTGTACTCTTTCCTGTTCTCACATTTTGAATAATTATAGGAATTATTTTATTGTAGTTATAGTCCACATTCCCAGTTGTCATCAGAGTAATTGATGAATAACATCCATGTTCCTTGTTTGTTGAGTAAGTACTGAGTGAGAGAATGAATGGGTGAATGACTACATAACATAGGCCAAATATCCTGAAGTTTGGGTAAGGACCAGGTTACTAGGCAACAAATGAACTATACCATCATCCTTGAATTTTTTTGTTACAGAAAGCTTATTATAGGAAATTGTATTATACATAAAATTCCAAAGAAGAAAAACCAGTTCTAATCCTGCACCCAAATATAATGTAGCACAATTGCTTATCCTTCTAGTCTTTTCTAAACAGACTTTTTCCTTCCAAATTTATCATACTTATTGGTATCACTACATAATAGGCTTTTCAGAATTACTTGTCATTTTAATTTCCTGCTTTTATGTTTTAAGACTGACTTGACAGAGAGGGAGAGACAAAAATCTTGTGCTTACTGGTTTAGTTTCCACATGACAGCAACAGTCAGGAACTCGAGCTGGGTCTCCTGGGGCAGGCAGGACTCGAGTCCTTGAGCCTCGTTGGCAGGAGGCCGGGTGTGAAGCAGAGTAGCCCGAGCCTTGCACCCAGCACTGCGATGGGGAATGCAGGCATCCCAGGTGCAGCTGCACCGGCCGTGGGATGCGCTCACCCTTCACCTGACTGCTTTATTTCTGCTGGGCTTTGTAGGATGTGTCCTCACTCACAGAAGTGGTAGAAAAACAAGTCAGTGAATTGTAAAATGCCTCTGATAACTTTCACTGCAAAAGGTAAAAGGGAGTAGGAAGAGGTAATCCAAAAACTCATAAAGTCAGTCATTTGAAAACCTCTCTGAGCTGTCCCGACTAGTGATGCATTTGATTGATCAGGCCTCTTCACATGCAGAGGGGGAGTTGTGTCTGCCTTGTCTACTTGTTTATACCTACCATGCCAAAGCTTGAACCTGCTGATCCTTTCCTAAAGGTCTCAGCCCTCTATCAGATCAGCTTTGGGAAAAGCCATTAAACATTTGTGTCTGCAAATTTGTTTCTGTTGAAGGTAAATTTATGTTTAAGGTGGTCTTACAACTTTCCCAATTTTGCCCAACATTTGTATTTGTTTAGATATAATTTCTTTGAATATTAGAATAAATACAAAGATTAGCTTTTGCTGAAATTTTTGCTGAGAGCCAATCATAAATAATACTAAGTGGTGAGCTTTGAAATCTCTAGTTTACCAGGTGGATTACCCAGTATGCCAAACTAATTATCTAAACCCACCAGTCAGTGTATATGTCACACTGGGGGCCAGGTGACTGTGTAAGGCGTAAAGAGCCAAGCAAGATGTGACTTATGGGGAGAGTGGGAGAAAGTAGTATGATAGTTCATCTTTTCCACAGTAATCTGGTTGAAAAGTTACATTTTTATTAGTATATTTCCCTTCATGCTTCTTTTTCCCCTTTAAGCCCAAGGAGAAATTGAAGCCATAGTTGTGCCTGTTTGCTTGGCGTTCCTGTTGACGACTCTGCTGGGGGTGCTGTTCTGCTTCAATAAGAGAGATCTGTAAGTACCTGCATTTCTCTGCTTGAATGTTTCCCTACTTCAGTGAGCCGTAACTCTTATACAATAAAATCCGTTTTATCATGTGATAAATTTTTCTAAGTAGGTATTAACGCACTCAAATATGGGAATTTGTATAACTCAAAGTTTTCTGGTTTTGTTTGTAGTCTTCTCCCATAACCCCCATCTGCAGGCACTCGGTGGATCTGCTTTCCATAAACGTGATTTGAGTTTGTTTGCGGGTGAAGTCTTTCACTTCCCATAACTTTGTCCTCTTTACTGCTGTATTCTGTAGTACAGATGGATCGGAATCTAGTGTGTGTGTGTGTGTGTTTTTAATGGAGCCTTGTTTCTCATGTTTGGCTTATATGTAGAAGTTCAGAACATTATAATACTTTAGACACATATTTTCATTTGTCTTGAATAAGTAGGACTTGGCGTGTTCAGCTTCGTGAAAATCTGCCAGTTTTTCAAAAGCCGTATTGTGTTCCCACGAGCACAGGTCCCATCTCATTATCAACACTTCATACTATTCTTCACTTTAGTGATTCTTTCCAGTGAAAGAATAGTTTGTTTTTTTTTTGGATTGCTAATGTTGGAACTATTCATGTCTCCTGTGTACCTTCTTTTGTGATGTGTCAGTTACTCATTTTCAAAGTGGGTTGTTTTGTTACTATTGAACTATAAGAGTTCTCTTTTTATGTTTACAAAATTTAACAGGTAGATGGATTTTTCAGTCTATGCAATTGTTAGCATAACTGTGACTTAGGAAAGTTTAATCTTGAAGTTTAATCTTTAATCCACTTACCAGTTTTTCTGCACTGTAGTTCCGAATCTGGTGTTCATCTGAAAACATCTACCTAACTGTCAAATCTTTTCTCCTGGTTTCTTCTTGAAATTGAGTTGTTTCAACTCTCATGTTTCGGATCCATTCCCAGTGAATGTTGTATGGTATGAGGCCAGAGTCAATATTCTTTCCCAATGGATGTCCAGTTCTAGTATCGTGCATTTTGAAGTTTTTTTTTTTTCCCATTGGATTTCTTGATACTTTTCCAGAAACCAAATTCTTTTCTTATTAGTCTGTAGCTGCTTCTGGACTTGCTCTCCTCCAGTGAGGTCCTGTTTAAAGCCAGAGAGTTCATGGAAAATGTGTATTAGGAAAAAAAAAACATGGATTGCAAAATTGTGTTACTCCCAAGAGAAGCTTCTTAGAAGTTTGTTTGAGAGAGAAAGCGCTCTCCTGTCTGCTGGTTCCCACCCCGTAGTGTAGCAGAGAGGAGGGCGGGACCCAAAGCAGGAGCAGAGTTCAGACTCCCACGTCGGTGGGAGGATGCGAGCTGCTGGACCCAGGAGTTGAACCCTGTGCTACATGTGGAATGGGGATAGCCTAGGCCAGCTAACCACTAGGCTAGGTGCCCGCCCTGAGCATTTAATACCACTTTTCAATAACTTTTTTGAAATAACGCGTTGTAAGTATTGAAAATAGGTAGAATTGCCTCCATTGTGTTTCCAAAATTTTGACTTCTTTGCCTTTTTATATAAATTTTAACAACAACTTGTCGATTTACTTTTAAAATAAATCTGCTCTAATTTATTCCTATTTCTTATCCTAAGTAGAATCTTTAAAATTTTAATTAAGATGTAGAAATGCAATTTTAAAAAATACATTGTTAATGCTAAAATATTCATAATTCATTGCTAGTGCCTTTTAGGACTCTGTCCCAGTGTTCTCCGTACAGTCACGGTGTTTGCCGGTAGTTATGGTTACCGCAGACTGTCCCCATGCTTTTGCTGCCTGAAGTGACGGACTGGCTCCAGCTGCAGTAGAGCGTTGACTGGAGACGATAGGAGCGGACACCGTCCCCACGATCAGGAAAGCAAGCATTCAGTCTTTCATCACTGTGTGTGATGTTAGTTCTAATCTAAGTCAGGGACATTTGTTTGTTTTCAACTTCGTATTAGGAATGCAGGGGTTAATTTTGACAAATGCTTTTTCTGAATTATTGAAATCATAGTTTTTCCAGCTTCTTGCATGAATTTGATTTTCGTAAATTTACGTTTGCTACATTTTTGTTGGATTCAGTTTAATTTTTGCATTTTAAATGCTCTTGGAAGATGGTATTTTTTCCCAGTAAAACTTTGGCTATGAAATCAGATTGTTGCTGACCTCTTGAAATGTGTAGGAATGCGTTTTGCATCGTCTCTTCTGAAAGAGCATTAGAATTTGTGTTTGTTTGTTTTTTTAATTGGAAAGGCGGATATACAGAGGAGACAGAGAGGATGATCTTCTGTCCGATGATTCACTCCCCAAGTGAGCACAACGGGCCGATGCTATGCCGATCCAAAGCCAGGAGCCTCTTCCGGGTCTCCCACGCGGGTGCAGGGTCCCAAAGCTTTGGGCCGTCCTCGACTGCTTTCCTGGGCCACAGGCAGGGAGCTGGAAGGGAAGCTGGGCTGCCGGGATAGAACCGGCACCCATATGGGATCCCGGGCGTGCAAGGCGAGGACCTTAACCACTGTGCCACCGCGCCGGCCCCTAGAATTTGTTTTTAATGAAAGTTTACCTTGGGCCCGGCGCATATGGGCACCGGTTCTAATCCTGGCAGCTCCCTGCCTGTGGCCTGGGAAAGCAGTCAAGGACGGCCCAGAGCATTGGGACCCTGCACCCACGTGGGAGACCTGGAAGAAACTCCAGGTTCGTGGCTTCAGATTGGCTCAGCTCCAGCCGTTGCGGCCACTTGGGGAGTGCACCATTGGACAAAAGATCTTCCTCTCTGTATCTCCTCCTGACCGTATATCCGGCTTTGCAATAAAGATAAGTATTTTTTAAAGTTTACCTTCTGAGGACTTTGGCCGTGGGTTGTTTGGTCAGCCTCACTGCTTTTTCCGACAGGTGCTGCTTGCAGGGCGGCTGGATCCCCGTCTGTGCTAACTGTTCTGAGTGCTCAACTTCCTATACACTTCAGAAAAATACAATAAAGTAGGATTTTAATGAAATAGACTGGTGGAATGAATTGGGTATCTGAAGCATTCTTTATCATTATGAACATTTTTGCTTTTTTGCTGTTGGGAAGAGTGTACCACAAATTTGCTCTGGATCAAGTTTCCATGTGTGTGTTTTTAATTACATTGAATATTGATCATTAGCCTTAACAGTTTCTTTAAAAACTGTTCATAAATATTGTAAGGAAAAAATTGGGGTCAAATAACAATGTTTTTATTCATGTAACTAATGTTCTTAAAACGCATCAGTGAATATGCTTATAAATAGGAACTGTTTTACATCTGGCTCTACATACAATTTTTTTTTTCTCTTCAGAATTAAAAAACACATCTGGCCTAATGTTCCAGATCCTTCTAAGAGTCATATTGCCCAGTGGTCACCTCCCACACCTCCAAGGGTAAGATGCTTTTAAATACATAGGCATGTTAGGATAGACTTAAGAGTTTTTCCAGAAGATTGACAGGCTGACTCAGATGTCAATAGAGCTGCACATTTGTTCCGACAAACACGACTATGTGATTAAACTTGGAATACTAAAACTGCTTTATAACTATTAACAGATGCTTATGGCCAAGTTTATCATGCTAAGCTCTTTACCCTAAAGGAGACGTCATCTGTATTTATCATCCAATATTTAATTATATTCCACAAAACTTTCAGTTATTTTTTCTACCTGGTTTCCCTAAGGCTGCCTGGTACTGTCAGATTACATGGTTTATAAGCTATGAATCCAGAAATACTGCCTTTTAGAGTTCTGAGAAAGTATAGCCTGATCCGAAGCATCTCAGACTCAGTGTTTGACTAGCAAGCAGTGGTTCGGTAGCACCCTGCTGCGTCACTAACTGCAGGCTGTGGGCGCCACGGGAAGTTAAGAACATTCAGGAATGTCTCATGTGACAATCTGTATTCTCCTTTCCTTAGCACAATTTCAGTTCAAAAGAGCAGATGTATGCGGATGGCAATTTCACTGACGTAAGTGTTGTGGAAATAGAACCCAATGACAAAAAGCCTTTTCCGGAGGACCTCAAGTCGTTGGACCTGTTCAAGAAGGAGAAGATGAGCGCCGAGGGCCACAGCAGCGGCATCGGGGGGTCCTCGTGCATGTCGTCATCCAGGCCCAGCATTTCCAGCAGCGACGACAACGAGTCTGCGCAGAACACCTCCAGCACCGTGCAGTACTCCACGGTGGTACACAGCGGCTACCGGCACCAGGTCCCCGCAGTCCAGGTCTTCTCCAGGTCCGAGTCCACGCAGCCCCTGCTGGATTCCGAGGAGCGGCCAGAGGACCTGCAGCTGATAGAGAACATGGAAGGCAGTGATACCATTTTGCCCAGGCAGCAGTATTTCAAACAGCACTGCAGCCAGCAGGAAGCCAGTCCAGAGATTTTGCAGTTTGAAAGGTCAAAGCCTGTTTCAGAGATGGCTGAGGAAGCTTTTATTAGACTTCAACAGCAGCAGTTCTCCAGTCTCTCACAGTCCTCCCCTGGAGGCCACATGAAAATGTTTCCGGAAGTCTCAGCAGATGTGTTTGGTCTGGGGACTGAGGGACAAGGGGAAACAGTTGGGGTGGCAGCCGTGATTGATGAAGGAATGCCTAAAAGCTACTTGCCACAGACTGTCCCGCAAGGCGGCTACGTGCCTCAGTGAGCCTCCCTGGGACGGCGGCCGCAGACCTGCAAAGCAAAACTAAGCTGTGATTTCCGAGAAGAAATCCTCTTCACTCCCTGGAGCCCGTTTGCCCTTGAAGACGAGTCTTACCTTGGGCTGTTTCCATTCCAGAATATCTGGGATTCAACGTCAAGCACTACATGAACTGACTTCATCTTCCACAGAGCTGACTGATTCTGTGCTTTTTCAGGATGGTTGCACTGAAGAAAAAGAGCCCGTCTGAAATTTATAAAGTAAGTTTCTTTTGCTACATGAAGAGTATTTGAACGGTAAGCAGCGATCAGCTTTACTGACTTTGTGAGAGTGGTTATGACAAAGTGGCACAGACATGGCTGATACGGAAACCCGAGCAGCACGGCCTGGGCGCCAGCCTCAGCAGAGGCCCATGGAGTCCAGCACCAGCGCCGGGCGCCCGTTGGTACTGCCGGAAAAGTCGTGCTTTCATTGGGAATGATGCCGCCCACTGTTGCAACAGGAAAAATCCCAGAGCCTTAACATGGAAGATTATAAATAGTTTAAATATTTAATCTATTTTCTATTACATAATAAAAATCATTTTTTGCATTATTGATAACCTTTTTAAAGGTTCATTTCACAGTTAGGAATGAATGTTTAAAGTTATTGGCCTTTCTCTGTACACGTGAACATCACTGATCCTTCAGAGAATTTGATAAAGTACTTCAGACAGTGTCTCAGCTGAAACTGTTCTAATTGAGTATACGTTTATGTTCTAAGTGTACCAACATTTGCATCTTTTTCCTAGCATGGATTTGAAGGAACTAAGTTACAGGATCTTTGGCAGTACTTACCAGGCGGAAGAGAACTGAACCTGAAGCCTTGCTCTCTGCTGAGTGCACACGTCGGCCAGTTCTGGGGGTGCACGGGCCCCGCTCTGGGACGAGAGGGTGTTTCCGCTTCTTGCAGACAGTTCTCCAGGGAAGAGGTCACCCTGACACCCCAAGCCTAGCACTAAGGCCACCCACCATTGTGTCAGTTGCTGTTAGCAAAGTGAGTTCAGAGGAAAGAGGTTTGGTTCTTGAAACTCACATACAGCAGAAAAACAGACTTAAGGTGTGGTAGAGGTTATTTAAGACTAAAGGGAAATTGATAAACATATACTAAGAATGTTCATACTTGGCTTCCGGGTATATTTTTATCCTTTGTATTCTTGCATTTATAAAAAGGCTCCTGCTTTGCCAGGTTCTTCCCCTGCACGGCCCCCTTCAGCTGTACACAGTGGCGCGTCCACTGGTTTCTACTTCAGGTAGCAGCAGGCCTAGAGGCTGCGGAGTCCAGGCGACCACACTGTTCTAAGACTGGCCTTGCCAAGTGTGGCTCCGAGCAAGTTTGTACTTACTGCTTATTTTTAAAAAATGAAAAAAATGTCAGGCTTACCTGTAGCCTTCCTTGTAACTAGCAGCAGTGCTGGGAAGGTGGCTGTAGGATGAAGCTTGCACACGTTGGAGGGCACTGCAAGTGAACGCATGGTCTGAGGGAATGAGAAAAAGCAGATTTGCATGTTGAAACCTGTAGAGAATTGCTTCCATAGAATGCCCCCGGCCACAAGAGCACTTTAGACACACAAGTGGATGTAATTACTGACAAATCCATTCAGGAAATTTGAGCACTAATATGTGATGTGCATTTATGCGCGAAAGAGAAAAGCAGTCCAATTTGTTTCAAATACAAAATTTCCCTAGAGCATGTCTTGAAATACTCTGTTAACGCATGTGCGTTGCATTTTAGATAGGCAGAAAAACATTAGTAGCAGAAAGGGAATTCTTTAAATTCTTATTGCCTAAAAATGTTTAAACTAGTTTTTAAATACTTCAAGAAATGGCCTCTGTGCGGGAACAAGTCACTGTTTCCCTTCAGGATTGAAAACAAAGAAATCACTCGGCACCTGTGAACCTGTCCGCTCCCCCGCGAGTCCCGAGGAAACTAGATTGTCCGGCTTCCTGGTCGCCAAGATCTGCAGTTGAATCCGCATTAGGATCAGACCCGACATTTGAGTAAGAAAAATGTACATTCTAGCTCCCTGCTAGCCAGCTCACTCACCTGATGCGGCCAGGAAACCAGCCAGTGACCGTAGCCGTTACTGCAGAGTTCAAGTACACTTATAAAAATGTATTTATTAAAACTCATTGAAAGTACAATACCTAAAGTAATTTTTAGAGGTAGAAATCAAACAAGAATTTTAAAGATCTTTTCTATTCATTTAGCTAGTTAAAACTGACAAAAACAGATGTGTAATACTTACGATTCCCAAAAATGTGCTTTGGCATGTATTGCCCAGTGCCACGTCGTTCTCCTGCCCCGATCCTGTTCCATTGGCAGGAAGAGCAGATCTCTCTGCTGTGCACCTGCTGCGTCTCCGTGATCAGCGACTGTAAGAGTTCAGAGACATTGTTGGGATAATTACACTGTAGGTGCAGGTTAGTACAGTGCCCAGGTAGAACTAACAATTGTACTTTTTGGTAAACAGAATACGGAGTCATAAGAGGCCAAGGTTTTTAGCGTTAACCTAAAATTGGGCATTGTGCTAGGTTTCAGTAAAGATGCCAGTTAACAGATTTCTTAGGATTAGCCTTGCCTCCAGTTCCTGTTTAGAGGTTATAAACAAGATTAATATGCAAATCCAAATAAAACTGTCCAAAGGCAAACATGGTTATATTTTAGGAGTTATTTTTCATCATAAATGCCATTGCTACATACATTAGCATGATGCTCTGGTCAATGTCATATTCCGAATTGAAAGGGCGTGGCTCACGGTGTGTGCCTAACATTCATTTGTCCCTAAATTCCAGGGGTTTTTGCCGGCGGCATTTCCCTTCCACTTGGTAGCTGCTTTTACCAGTTAGGTATGCATTACAGTTAATGGGTCAGACTGAGAAATCAGTTAAGGAAAGCGGGGATAAAGGCTCCACATTTTTAATACTTTGAACACAACCTTTGAACGGTAACTACCGGATTCAAATGCTGGTGCAAGAATCCCAGCCGATGTGTCAGACAAAGGGATATGTTGGGTGATATTTGGAAATGGTTTGGTCTTATTGTAACATGTATTTTGAATATATTCTAAGTAAATGTGCAATTTGCTAGCACGACAATGCAGTTAGAAAGCATTATACGCGTCGTCTGTCCTCACTCACCCTTGCTGTCCCCTTGCTGCCTCGCCGACCTCATTTAACTCCATGTGGAAGGCTTGTCCTTTGCACTTTGTTAGCATGTGCTAATTGTAACCACGCTATTAACTGTTATGTTGACAAAACTCTGTTACCATAAATGCTCTACTATATGTCGGGTCTATCCGTTTAATAAAGTTTTTGTTCAGTTTTTTGTGTGTGTGGTCACCACTATCTGACAAAAGTCACACATCTTGAAGTGGTTGGTGTTGGGACATGCGGGTCTCAGTATGTCCTCTGGCTTCTGGGATGCTTAGCTATGGCAGTGGAGTAAGACCCAGAAGGAAATCGGTACACACTGGGCCTGAACAATGGGGAACACTTACCTGCTCAGCCAGTCACTCGGTGAGTGGGTCACCACGTCTTGCCTCCTTAGTGCAGCCTTCTTTTTGGGTTGAAGGGCCTAGGGACCACGGCCGGAGGTGCACCACCTTGTGGCGTGACACGGCCTGCATGCTGCCACCCTCACCCTGGCTGGGTGCTGGACTCCCATGCCCTCCTCTCGGAGTCCCTGGATGCGCCTTCGGCAAGTCCACCTGGAGGAGGAGTCATCGGCCTTCACGTTGGCGTGTCCTCACAGGGTGATTTCACCTGAAAGGACAGGGCGTGTTAAGTCCACGTGGCCAGTGACCATCAACCCTCGGGACACGAGCACACTGCACCATGGAAGGACACCGATTTCCGTGCAGTGGACATCTTTTCATAGCACACCTCTGCCTTACGTTTCCTGAAGCTCCTGCGCACCGTGGCATGGGGCCATGTGGTCCTTGCCTTGGAGCCCCCGAGCACTGCAGTTGGACCTGCCCTCCCCGCAGCACGGCCCTCTTGTTCTGGTTCATATGACAGACTGCAGCCAGCCTCCCACGAGTTACCTGTTTGCCCAGCTCAGCAGCAAGGCGCCTCTCTCCTCGGGACTCATTTGTCCCCATGTCCTATTTTTTAGAATTAAACATCCCTCCCACTTTGCAAACACTCCCTGCGGCACACACTGCTTATCCACGGACTCAGACCGATGCTCTATCCGGTGTGAGAACAGGAGAAGAGAGGCACAGAGCAGATGGGAGTCGGGAGGACCGAGCATCCAGAAGCTCAGCTTCCTGCTGCCGCTCCCTGAGGTGGGCCGGAGACCCCAGATAGGCCGCCTAGTTTCTCAGAAGTGACCGTGGTTCTGTGTCACTGGGGCACAGAGAGCTGAGCCTGTGACACCGCGCTCTTGGACTGATCCCAGCTGCTCCTGACCCAGCATTCCCCCAATACACCTGGCAAGGCAGCAGACCGTGGGCCACCCACTTAAGACAGCAGGGTAAATTCCTAGCTTTGACCTGAATTAGCTCAAACTGTTGCAGGCGTTTAGCGGGTGAACCAGCAGAGGTCGCTGTTTTACTCTCAAATTAACAAAAGTTACTTAAAAATTACTGTCAAGGCAGGTGCAGTAGCTTAACGAGCCAGTCCTCTTCCTGGTAGTACCAGTTTGTGTCCTGCATGCTCCACCTCCCAGTCCAGTTCCTTACCTACGGACTGGAAAAACAGAAGAGGATGATCCAAGTCCTTGGGCCCCTGCACCCGCAGGAGACACCTGGAGGAAGCTCCTGGCTCCCAGGTCTGGCTGTTGCATCATTTGGGGAGTAAATCAGCAGATGGAAGGTCTAACTTTGACTATCCAAGTAAAATATTTTATTTGAAAAATCATTCTGTTGCCATTGAGGGAAAAAAAATCTACCTTCAAATTCACATTAAACTTTTTTTTGATAAATTATGGTTATTTCCTCCAACTGCTAAAGGCTTGAAATGCTGAGGCAGGGTTGTAAAAGTGTGTACATGTGTGTCCAGCGCCGTAGCCTGGTGGCTAAAATCCTTACCTGACACGCACCGGCATCCCACATGGGCGCCGGTTCTAATCCCGTGGCCCCGCTTCCCATCCAGCTCCCTGCTTGTGGCCCAGGAAAGCAGTTCAGGATTGTCCAAAGTCTTGGGACCCTGCACCCACGTGGGAGACCTGGAGGAAGTTCTTGGCTTCAGATTGGTGCAGCTCCAGCCGTTGTGTCACCTTGGGAGTGAACCAGCAGATGGAAGATCTTCCCCTCTCTGTCTCTCCTCCTCTCTGTATATCTGACTTTGCAATAAAAATAAATCAATCTTTAAAAAAGAAATGCATATTCAACCCTGATTGTGTTGCTTGTGATCATAATGTCTGTCAGAAAGTAGCACTAAGCTGTCCTTTCTGGTTTTGACTTTCACAGTGGGGCTCTGCCACGCCCTGCACGCCCCGTGCTGACCCCGACAGTGCTCACAAGTGGAGGAGCCAGAACAAGCCAAGACTCGTGCTAGGCGCAGTCCTCAGTGTGCGCGATAGCCGTGCACAACCAAGCCCGGCCCCTACAGAATTTCCCTGCAGTTCCACCGAGTGCCAGGAAAGGCCTGCTGGGCAGTGCCAGCTCCAGAGTGGATGCACATCTCCGGGATCCTGCTGTACGCCTTGTGGGGAGGGGCGGACACAGGGAGCATGTTCTTAATTTAAGCGAAAAGGCATTCGAAATCCCAGGGATTTGGGCAACCGCTCTGCCTCACGCCTGCTGCGTGGACCTGGCTGGCTCCTTCATCTGTGCTGACGTACACCGAGGTGACGCCCTGGCACACTTCTGAGGTCATCTCGGCCCCACGGTCAGAGCTGGCACTACAAGCTGCCGGCTGCTCCTCTTCCCAGCCAGCCCTCAGCTACCCCTGTCACCTGCCAGCAGGTGCTCCCTATGGAGCAGGGCATCTAAGCTGCTAGCCCATATTTTTGGGCACATTTTGGGCCAAGCTACCCAACTGCTTTTAGTAAGCTTTCCGAGGACCTGCTCGCCCGGCCAGCTTGTGGAGAACGCACATGTCACC